CCCTGCATCAGGCTCCCTGCTCAGCAGGAAGCCTGCTTCTCCCTCTCCCTCTGCTGCTGCTCCCCCTGCTGTGCTCTCTCTCTCTGTCAATTAAAAAAAAAAAAAAAAAGACAAAAAAGAAAATACATCAATCAAAAGGACACTGCGGGCTGGTATAGGGTTACCAGTACCTAGTCTCTCCTGGCTCTTCTCTCTGGCCCTTCATCTGTGTCTGTGTGCTGCCTGTTGAGAGTAGGACATAAGTTAAAACCAGGGATAAAGTCATAGTCATTGTTCTCAAATGACAGATTTAGGGGTAATTGATCTTCAAGAAAACATTTTAGATCACATGATCACATAAAAATGGTTCAGGATCTAGCTGGAGCCATTGGGGGTTAAAGTCACTTTTCATTCTGTGTTAGAGGTAGAAATGATAGAATGTCAATTTCCCTTTTCTTCACAGTCATAAGATTGTTGGTAAAGTGGTATATTTAACCAAAAATTGATGTTTACATCATAATGAATGTTATTTTTTATTGTGTACAGTTAATAGATCAACCAAATGATTAAATAACAACCAGGAAAATTATATATGTTTCCATTGGTTACATATGTGCTTATAGAAATTTATTTGTAGTAGTAGGTATGGACTTCATTAGAAGTTCCATATAATTTTCTTAGTCCATGCTATAACAAATTTCTGAAATGATTCCTTAAAAATATAATACCCTTGAGTGTATCATAGTTCTTGAACAACCGAGAATAGAAGTAAGTAATCAACAACACAGGTACAGTGGCCCTTTTAATGCCACAACACAAAGGTCTAGAGACCTTTTAAAAGGAACTGAGAATCAAATTGCATTTAATTTAAAACATGTTAAATGTACTTCCACTGAAGATGGAGACTCTGAAATATCCCACGCAAGGCCGGAGTGGTGCCTTGAGAGAACAGTGATAGGCTCACCCCACAAGAGGTCTTGAAAAGCTGACAGCCCTGGGCCAGTCACAGTTAAGCCTCCCTTTGGAACTCCTGTCTCTTGTTCAGCCACTTCTTCATGAACCTTATCCCACCTCCTTGCCTGAATGGGAACTGAGCACTAATTGTCTTAAATGGAACTGCTTAACATTCCCTTTCCTTGTATCTCAGGGTCAGTCTATGCACATAATAAACTCCCTGCTCTTAAATGATTTGCCTTGGATATTGTTCTCCCACTCCTTTAAAAAAAATATGTTTTAAGGCTCATGCTAAAGAGGTAGTGAACCCACTCTCCCCTTATTGAGACAATTTACTAAATTACTGACTACCTCTCATTTACAAAAGACACCAGGAATAACTTTTTTTTTTTTTTTTCCTACTGGAGTGCTTGTCCTCAGCAATGTGACCAATCCATCTTTCTTTTCATGACCTGATTTATCTCACTTATTCTTACGGCCATACTTTTGGCTTTGTCATTTCCTAAAACTAAACCCTGTCTTAAATTATTATTTTAAGCCACTAAACTTCTATGTGTCACTTCCTATCTATACACATAGCACAGATAGTCCTATAACAAATAACAAAATCCTATAACACAATCCCGCTTTTTTTTTTTTTTTTAAACTCTGGACTTCTGGTCATTGTTTGCTTTACTTCCATCCTGTATTGATTTATCTTCCTGACAATCTGTGACTCTTAAATCCATTGTGTCTTTGCCTTTACTTCCGACTCTATCCACAGAGCTAAGTCTCAACCCAAAATGAACTATTTTATTGTATGGGCCTGAGCACAAACAGCTGAGTGATCTTAAAGCAGAGTGCACAAGACAGGTAACTCAACATCACAACAAATCAGTGATATCCTACTTCATCTAGCCACTCATTTTTGTTCCCAAATCCACCTGTCTTTAGATATCTATCAATCCCATTTTACCAAATGAGTTTGGAATGACTTTATCACTTTCTTCAAACTTAGACCCGCATTTTCTTTTCTTTTTTTATATTTTATTTATTTGACAGAGAGAGAGATAGTGAGAGAGGGAACACAAGCAGGGGGAGTGGGAGATGGAGAAGCAGGCTTCCCGCGGAGCAGGGAGCCCGACGTGGGGCTCAATCCCAGGACCCTGGGATCCTGACCTGAGCCGAAGGCAGACGCTTAACTACTGAGCCACCCAGGCACCCCTAGACCCGCATTTTCTATGGTAAAGGAGAGTTGCTACCTTATCTCAGAAACATAAGCCCTATAAGTCCACAGATGTGGAGGTCGACAAGTCCTATTTATTTGAATACCCATCAGATTGCAATATCCTCTCCCTTCTGCCTTTCACAGTAAATAAATGATTTTCCCTTTCAATGCTCATTTGAGTCATATTTGTCTCAGATCCCTCCCTCTTCAACCTCAGGCTCTCAGTTATCACCACCTCCATGTCCATTCCTCAAATTTTTGCTCACTATTGGACTCTTACTGGAAGTGTTCAAACTTACTCAGATGCTAAAATCTTACCTCTTTTGAAAACACAATGACCCTTCCAATATAGGCACTTGTATCTCACTCTTTCACAGTTGCATTTCTCAGGGAATTATTTGCATACACATAATTGCTTCCATTGGAAGCCATTCCCATTCCCATTCCAAAGAAGCTTTGTTCCTTTCCAGGAACAATTGTCACTTCTAGACTGCACACATTGATAAAAGCCTGCTAATCCTTACCTTCCATGCTCACCACCTCTTCCTTCCAAAACATTCTTCCCCTGGAAGAGTCTGTATAACCACCTTACAAATGCCCTTCCATTTATGTGATTGTTCCTTCTTAGTTCCCCTTCAGCTTCCTCTTCTCTACTGAAAATTTATGTTTTGTAATTCCTCCATGCTCTGTTGTTTTCAAATAGGATCTATATGTAAAACAAAAATAAAAACAAAACAAAACACCAAAAAAAATTGACTTTCAGCCTGGCTACTACTCTGAGCTCCAGATTTATGCATCCAAGTGTGCATTTGACATCATTTTTTGAAATCTCTCATATGTGGTCAATAATCTTTCTCCCCTTATGCAGAGCCAATTACCTATCAAGTTTAAATTTAGAAAGAAGCTTTGGGTAAGATAACTTAAGTCTGGTTAAATATAAGTCATATTCAATATACTGATCAGTAATGACCATATGAAAGATAAGATATTTGATTGTTTCTTGATATTCTATCCAAAACCCCAGAGCAATGATACTTTCCTTCCTATATCACCCACTTCCTGTCCTATCTCAGATTCCAATGTATCATTTTCCTTTTATTCAACGTTTGAAACAGATGGATCTGATAAGGACTAACAACAGTCCTCACAGGTCACATTCTGGAGGAAGAGGAAACAAGGTTTGGAAGAAGGAGGGTAAAAAGAACTAAAAACATGTGCCAAAGGGTCAAAGTGCACTTACCCCTAAAGTTCAGGGATTGATGTGGAACACCACAGATGTACTACTGGACTGTGAAAAGACTACAAACTGGCCCTACTGCATGGGAATGAGTGAATGAGTCCAGAATTTTCACTCCTAACCTCACCATCCATGAGACATCATCAAACCTAAAATCAAGCCAAGCTCCTCTCCCATGTGGATTGCTGCTACGATTCCAGCAACTCTTGCTTTCTTTCACTCTTTTCTCTAAACAGCAGTGAGATTTGCAAATGCAAAATATATCATGTCATTTCCTATTTGATACCCTTTGATAATCCATCATTTGTCTTAGTGTAAAATCCAAAAACCCTAATAGGGCTTTTAATGACCTGCGGGAACTAGTTCTTGCCTTTCTCTCCAAACTCATCCCCTTCCTCCATCGCCATGTTCCCCAGGCTTCTTCTCATGACATCCATGCCATGCTCTCTACCTGGGATACTGCTTCCATCCTTATTCTCCTCATCTGTAAAGTGTACGTTAAAGTACAACATAAACATAGAAAGCTTTCCTAACCCTCTATGTTGATTCAGACCTTATTGTTCCATGTAAATGCACCAGCTTATGCTTTATTGTTTCACAGCAAATCTCACAAATAGACATAAATCCATTACTCCTTGGATAAGTCATTATATATCTCTTCCTCCGTCAAAACTAGAGGCTCCATTCAGGCAAAATCTTCCTTGGCCATTTCTTTACCATTGTGTCCCTGGGCAATCCAGACTGCAGCAAGAGGGCTGGCATATATAAAGGGCTTGAGAATATTTGTGGAATTAATGAATGAGATAGTAGGCAGGAGTAGCAGAGGTCTTCTAAATATTGGCTGAATAAAAGAAATTTTGACTCCTCTCTTCCCTCCTTCCTCCCCTCCCATCTGTGTTCCTTCCCTTCCCTTTCCTTTCTGTTTTTTCCCTGTCTCTCTGCTTGCTTTCTCACTCGTCCGTCCTTCCTTCCTTCCTTCCTTCCTTCCTTCTTCCTCTTTCTTCCCTCTCCACCTGCCCTCTCCCTCCACTTATGTCTTCCTACCTCTGCCATCCTCCTTCTCTTCCTTCTTTTCCTAGAATTTCATTAAATAAAAAGCATTAAAAGTCTAAATTCCTGTAGATAAATCCTTGGCACTTCAAAAACCCTTCTTTGTTCTTGTCACTAGGAGAAAATTTAGGTCAATGATCATTTATATATCTTCATTCATTACACAGACATTTAATAGGCACCAATAGCACCAGGAATTGAATCTCTAAGGCCAGTTCCTACCAGTACTTAAATGATGTAAACTTTCTATGTGTATGCTTTATGAACTCAGGAGAAATCCTACTGTAAAATCTGAAAGTAATATATGAAATCATCATGCCCTGAAATCACACAATTAGATTCTCATCAGAAGATGAAAGAAAGTATCAAAGGATAAAATTGCCCCCAAAATGATTTGATAGAGGCTGTCTTCTGAACAGTTGTTGGCAAGGGGCCATGATGAAACTCTTTCATTATGGCTTGTGGAATTCAACATGGTGCCAAGGATGACATTCTGGTTTGAAGGCTCCAAACTTGCCACTCCCATAATCCCCAAATTAATCCACTGTGTGTTCTTGTGCTAATTTTACTTACCTAACAAAGAAACTCCCCTTCACTCTTACTCCATAGATACCACACTTTTTTCTCATGACTTTTCTAACAGCCTCTTTGAATTCTTGGTTCCTCAAGCTATAGATAACAGGGTTCAGCAGTGGGGTGACCACAGTGTAGAAGACAGAAATGATCTTGTTGATTTCAGGTGACAGGTGGTCATTGGGGTGAACATACATGGAGATCATGGTCCCATAGTAGATAGTGACAACAGCCAAATGGGAGCCACATGTGGAAAAGGTCTTCATCTGGCCAGAGGCTGAAGGAATTCTCAATATGGTAGATATAATGAAAACATAGGACACAAGTGTAAGAAGAAAGCAAATGCACAGCACTGCAATAGACAGGATAAAGATGACCATCCTGGTGATATACACACTGGAACACGAGAGCCGCATGAGGGGAGGGAGGTCACAGAAGAAGTGATTGATCTGGTTAGGACCACAGAAATCCAACTTGGAGATCATTAGGGAGGGCAGAAATCCTGTGCCAACACCTGTTAACCAAGAGATTGCCACCAACTCGGTGCAGGTCTCAGGACTCATCAGGAAAGAGTAGTGGAGTGGGCTGCAGATGGCCAGATATTGGTCATAGGCCATCATGGCCAGAAGAAAGCACTCAGTAGCCCCAAAGAACACGAAGAAGTAAAGCTGTGCCATACAGGCAGGGAAAGAGATGGCTTGGCCGTGGGAGAACAGGTTGGCTAGGAGAAGGGGCACAATGGTGGATGTATACCAGATATCCAGAAAGGAGAGTTGTTTGAGAAATACATACATGGGTGAGTGCAGTCGCTGGTCCTGGCTCACCACTGCAATAATGACAACATTACCTGTGACTGTGAGAAAGTAGATGAACAGGAAGATGGCAAAGAGCAATGTCTGCCATTCAAGAAGGTTCTGGAATCCTAGCAACTGAAACTCAGTGACACTGGACACATTTGGGGGCTTCATTGCCTGTGGAAGGGAAAATATTTTGTAAAATCACTATATAAAAGTCATGCAAATATTTGTAGCTATTGATCTTTAGCAGTTCAGAGACCAATTTTTTTATAATAGTTTAGATCTTTGTGTACAACACTTTATAGGGACAAGCATTTTATAGCAACAATTTCATCTTGTTTTTATAAGAAAACATTTTGATATCACAAGCTGAGTGTGGTTGTTAGGTCTTGGAAAGAACCTCAGCAAATTACATTTCTTGTGTTCTCTGAAATTTAGAAGTCTCAGATCCAAAGATACAAACAAAAACAGAAACAAAAGAGCAAAAACAAAACAAAACAAAAAACTAACAAAATGAAACAAAAAATCTCTGATGGAAAGCAAACTGGGAAACTAAGCATAACAACATTTTTTTTTTTTTTAAAGCAGGCACATATGGATACAATGACTTTCTTTTCTCACATATGGCTTTTGTCTGATATAGGAGTCAGGCATAGCATATCTCCTATGACTTATTGGGGAAGTTTATTTATTCTCCTTTCAAACAATATTTATGGATACCTTGCTCTGTGTGTGTGTGTGTGTGTGTGTGTGTGTGTGTGTGTGTGTGTGAAGCTTTGTGCTGAGCTAACCTTTACCTCCATCAGTGTCCTTTCTTGCCCAGTTGGATACCATGCTCTGCCACTGAGCATGTATCCTGTATACATTAAATATGTCACCTTCCCTTCACTTTCCTTTCATTCATTGTCAAAGCTAGTCCTGGGTAAAGGCAACATCCACCTGCCATACATGAGCTTCCATGCAATAAAGGAGATGAGAGACAACACATAATGTTGTTTTAAAATTCATAACCATTAACTCCAGTGTGTCTTTAATGCTGTGGAACAATGACTCCACCTTTCTTTCATCTATTTACTCTTCCATTCTCCTGAGTGACTAGTTTATACATTTTTTTTTCCTTTTAAAACTTCCAACATTTCCTTGTCTATCTATACCTTCAGTGGAAGTCCTATTGTTCTGAAGAAAAACCTGAAATCCTCTAATGGGAATATCCAGACACTCAGCCTACTAAATTCCCACCTCCCACCTTCAGTTCTTCTGCATCTGCTTCCTACATGTTACTCCAAATTAAAGGTCTATTCCTGGGTAAGGCAAATCCCTCCACACATGCTTTAGTTCCTTCACCCTCCTACATAGTGGAAGTGTTTGCAGGTATTACAATTTCTTACTCCCCTGAATTAAGGATGGTCTCTATCTGCCAGATCATTTCCTCAGCATGTAAACAGGCTGGTTTTCTCTCCCTTTAAATAGAACAAATGGGGTATTTGGGTGGCTCGGTTGACTGGGCATCTGCCTTCAGCTCAGGTCGTGGTCCTGGTGTCCTGAGATGGAGCCCCACATCAGGCTCCCTACTCAGCAGGGAGTCTGCTTCTCCCTCTCCTTGGGCTCCTCCCCCCACCACCCCTGCTCTTGCTCTATCTCACTCACTCTCTCAAATAAGTAAATAAAATCTTTAAAAAAAAGAGAACAAAAAAGATAAGGTCTTGATGTCATTCTGTTCTCCAAAACCTACTGCCTGCATCTGTCTACTCACTTGTCCTCCTTCCCTTCTTGAGGATATTGTCCCTGTCAACTTCCTGCACCCCCCTTGAATCCACTGGAATCAGGGGTTTTCCCTCACCACTCCACCAAAATAGTAATGCCACATTTCAGTGGCTCTTCAAGCATCCCTAGTGGTCTTAATCTCTTGTCAGCTTGGCTGAATTGATTCCACTGTGTTCCTGGGTCTCCTCTTGTCACTTAACATGCCCAGCTCTGTGTCCTCTGAATTCAACTACAGACCTGCCTTTCACATTGTATGCATTTATCTGTTTAGCATCTCTCCACGTCCTCCAACCTGTTAATGTAGGCCCTCAGGGTTGAATACCTCTCAGTGTACCCTCATTCCCCTTGAGGTTTGATGCAGGCTCTTGACTGTAAATGCTATCACCTGGCCCTCAACACCAAAATGTGTGTATCAAGCTTGACTATAAGCCTCTTGTAAACAATTTCCCTATTTGAAAGCACACTGATGTGTCTGATTAGTATCTGGAACTTAACACTAACTAACCTGCATCTCTTTATCACCCAAGAGTCTCCCCTTAGTCTGTCTGCCACATCTCATCAGTGGTTACTCCATCTTCCCACTGGCTTAGGCCAGAAAACTTGACTTTTGTTTTTCTCACCCCTAGTATCTGATTTCTCACCAAAATCACCTGGCTGCACCTGAAAATATATGCAGAAAACGTGCCACTTCCCCTCACCTGGATTGTTCAGTAGTCTCCTTGTATCTGCACTTGTTCAGTAAATACTCAATAAGGCACCCCAAATGAAACTTTTAGAACAGAGGGAAGGGGGGAGGGAGGGAGGGAGGGAGGGAGGAAGGAAGGAAGGAAGGAAGGAAGGAAGGAAGGAAAGGAAGGAAGGAAGGAAAAGAGAGAAGAGAAAAAGGGAAAGACAAACAGAGGACAGCATGTGTCACTCCTCTTCTCAGGCGCCCAGCTTACTGGGTATACTGGGAGCACACGGTGCTGTGAATCATTCCTAATACGTGAGTAAATCAATGTGGCCAGTCAGCTCATGCACACATCAGGAATCAACTGTTCTGTTAATACATTGTTGTTTTAGTTCACTATTTTTACTGTGTCCTATTTCTTCCTCTCATACTTGAGTGAAATCATTGGGAATTTTATCTTCATTTGACCATGAAAAATTCATATGGAATGAAAATAATATCTTAATAAAACCTGTGCACTTGTTATCAGGGATACGATGCTTGATGTCTCTTATACATATTGATCTATGTGGTACGTGATTTCTTAAAGTTTAAGAAAGAAAAGCCAAAGCCTTCCCAGTGTAGCAGGCCCTACTTCTCTCCTCCCATCTCCTCTGCAATCTCTTTGTCCACTTTTCTCCTACATTCCGCTCCCAGTGCTCCAACTCCCTCAGTATTGTGCAGACAACATAGGTCTTGACTCCTTTTCTATTCAGCACACTCAGTTCCCTGAGATATTATCTCTGTATATTTCTAAGTGGCTGATACCCTAGTCTGCTCAGATAGCACCTTCTCCAGGAGATCTTCTCTGGCTACTCTATAGCCGTTCCGGGAGCTCAGGACTTCAATTCAATGCTCAATGCTAGAAGTACCTTAATTATACTGAGCTAAAAAATAAAACAAAAACCAAATCAAAAGAAAATGAAAACATCTACCTCCCAAAATGCTGAGTCTACTTTAGTACTAGCGTGACCAGCACAACCTCAGATCTAATTTTGGAGCTTTCTTTGAAATTATATGAAAATAAACATTAAAAATGTGATTGTTACAATCTTGCCTAGAGTCAACTACACGCCTTTGACTTCTTAAAAAATCTTTCTTGGTTACTTTTCAGTTACTACAGATTTATATGCTAAACAATTTAGGCAAAACTATTTGCTTAGTTTTCACATAGATAGAACATCAGCAAAGGCTAGAATTGCCTTGATAATGAGGAAGAATTTATTGAAGTCTGTGTAATTTTAGAATTCAATGTCAACAAACAAAGCAAACAATACAACAAAATTTATGTCACTTGACACTAAAACGCACCATGTTGATTTCCTTCTGAAAACCTTTGGGCCTGTCTCCATGAGCCTCTCCTACCTGTCATTTTTTCTCAGCATGGAGAGCCCTAAAGTGTCCCTGCTCCAGGATCTGCCTTGCCCTCCTTGAACCCAAAGTGGACTGTGCTTTCCTCATGCAAGTGGAAATTTGCCATCTCTTCTGCTGGGGTTCGACCCTGGAAAAAGCAGTCTTCTCCTTTTAATAACTGGGTTTCTTGGGGACCTGGCCCTTCTGAGAATCCTGGTCCCCAGATATTTTTTTTCTGTAATTTGTCAATCGAGGTAATAAACAATGGAACCAATCTTCTGAGATTCATCTCTACCCACTGAAGTTTAGATGTCTATAACACATTCAGGATAAATGAATTTTCACATTCTTTTGGAGAGGTATTTTTTTGAAATTAGGATTGGTCTCAAAAATGTTGAGATAAAAATTGAATCAAAAAGAGCGTTTTTCTAAAATATAGCAAGCAGGCAATTAGTGAACCACCTATCCTGAGAACTGGATATAGGACAGCTGCTTTTTCTTGAATGGCATTTTGCCATCATATTTTAATTGAAAGTATAACTAAATGAAAAAACAAAAAAATTATGACTGAAAATTAATTTATGCAATGAGAGCACTCTGTACCCGAGCTCATTCTAAATGTGAATCTGTCAATTTATCAATGAAAATGCAATATCTGAGTTTGTCTGAGAGGCTGTTTAGTTTGAGTTTTGGAAGATGAGTTGGAAAAGAAAAGGTTCTCAAATCATCTGTAACATAGCCGTATTAAAAACAAAACAAAACCAAAACAAGAACACACAGAAAAAAATAAAACAAAAATTCAAGTGTATGAAAGGTCATTATAATCTGATGCATTGATGTTTGTGTTAACTAATATCATTTTTTGGAAATAATATTCATGTGTATACTTTTTAGAAAACTTGGAAATAGAAAGAAGTAGACAAAAATATCAGTACATTTATTTTGGTGTGATATACATAAATGGATATTTATTTTTAACTAAACAACATAATTGTTAATTAATATGCAATAAATTCTAATAAAAATATTTTTTGTGTAAACTGTGCTGGAATAAAATATATAGCAAATGGCCACAACTGTATACAGTTTCTTAGGATATGTTGTATACTGCAGCATCAGAAGCCATCATGCTTATAGGTAATAAAGGCTGTTGGGAAGAATATTCAGATTACTTGGGGGTGGGATCCATAGTATTGTCTCCCAGAGTTAGGCACTTGATGTCTTACCTTCCAAAGTTTTTGGTAGTTCTACATATGGGGTGATGTAATTAGGTTACTACTGTATAGTAGTACCACTGTATCTGGGCTATTTTTATAGCTAATTATATAGCCTGGATCATTTTGGC